TCATAGCAGCCAAGGATAAAGTAGAAGTCAGAAAAATAGAATTACTACTCAGCAATGAGTTTGACATGAAGGATTTGGGTGCAGCAATGAAGATTCTTGGAATGGAGATCTTGAGAGATAGAAAGGCTGTCAGATTGTATTTGAGTCAAAATAGGTATATCGAAAAGGTGCTTGAAAGATTCAATATGGTGAAAGTTAAGGCTATCAGTACTCCCTGGCTGCCCAGTTCAAATTATCATCTAACTTGTGTCCACAGTCAAATGAAAACATTGATTATATGTCTCGAGTTCCTTACTCTAGTACAGTTGGTTCGCTCATGTATACTATGGTTTGTACAAGACCTGATTTAGTACAAGTAGTTAGAACAGTTAGCAGATACATGGCTAATCTGGCAAGGAATATTGGAAAGCAGTATAGTGGATCTTCAGATACTTGAGGGGCTCTTCTAATGCTTGCTTGCATTTTGGTAGAAATTTAGATAGAGTTATAAGTTATATGGATTCAAATTATGCAGGAGATCTTGATAAGAGGAGATCGCTTACAGGGTATGTGTTTACTCTTGGTGGTTGTGCTATCAGCTGGAAAGCTACTTTACAAAATACAGTGTCTTTGTCTACAACAGAAGCATAATATATGGCCATTACAGAAGCATGTAAGGAGGCTATGTAGTTGAGAGGGTTGATTGGTGAAATCAGTGGAGACTTGCAAATTTCTACAATTTTATGTGATAGTTAGAGTGCAATTTTCTTGAAACAATGAGGTTGGTGTGTTTATTTCTCCAAAGAAATATGCATAAAGGATCCTCAACAAGTCCTGAATGATTAAATACAAATATGTTGAAACTCCTATTGTTTGCAATGAAAAATTGATGAAAAAAGTTGGAGAAAAGTATTGCAACAGTTTTTAAAAAGCTTTAAACCTTCAGAATAAAATTGGTTTAAATTTCAATTTTTCTTTTTAATTTTCAGTTTTGTTTTGGTTCTAAATTTAGTTAAAATATTTAATTGTATAGTGTTACTTATTTTGAAATGATTAATTATGGGGATTGATTTTTTCACTATAACAGGGAGTGATTTTTCTTTGTTTGAAGCACAACATGAAAACACAACTTGAATAAATAAAAATAAAAATACTCCCAATACATTTTGTATTATAATATTTTGGCAATTTGATAAAGACTCGTTCTTCATCTTCCTATGGTCGTGCCCATAGAAGAAGAATCGATTGTGAGTTATATGAGTTTTATTTTGGAATAATGTAGTGCCGAAGTACCCGTACGAAGAGGATGTAACACAACTTTAGCATCCTTAACGTGACTCCCTACTTGCATTCTAACTCTCATCTTTGTATTATTTATTGTTGAATTATACTTTCATGCTATTAAATTTATTATGTTAAATGATAATATTTCTACGCACAAATTACTAATTTTTCCCCAACAATGAAATATTCCCATGTTTGGCGAGAAGGCAATACTTGCCGACCATTTGGCTACTACGGATACAAAGAGCAAAAATTTATAGCTTATGTAATAACACCTGTTACGGGTTTTTTCCAATTCATCTCTCACGTCATCGCCACGTCAAGCAACGAACTGAATACAACCGCTACATGGCGGATGAACTCGATTCATCCTCCACGTGGCGAACGAACTGATTTTGCCCTCCGCCATATATCAAACGAACTGATTTCGCCCTCCGCCACATATCAGATGAACTGATTTTTGCCTTTCTCACGTGGGACGAACCGATTTCGTCTCTCTCTCTCTCTCTTTTTTTACGGTGGTAGTGGTTGTGGCGGTGGTGTGCGTGATGTGGCAGTGGTTTTTGGGTGTGGCAGTGGCGTGGTGGTGGTTCTACTGTGTTTTTGGCGATTTTGTGGTGGTGGATCGACGGTTGTGTGGTGGTGTGGTGCAGGTGGTGGTTGGGGTGACGTTGTGGCTGCGGCGATTTTTGTAGTGGTAGGCGACGATGATGGTGGTTACGGTGGCATTGGTGGTGGTTGGGGTAACGTTAAACTGAAAACACCCAAAACGCGTTTTGAAAATTTTGGCTTGATTATAACTAAAAACACCAAAAACGACAAATTTGTCGTTTTGGGTTTTCTTTGTAAATTTTTAACTTATTTTCAAAAACGCGTTTTCGAAAATAGGAATGAGAACGTATTTTCATTATTTTGGAAAATCGAAAACAGAAAACGGCTTGAAAACGGTAAAAAGAATAGGTCCTTAGTGGTTTCTATCAAAACTTCAAGAACACTATTGAAAAAAATTTAATATGAAGGGAATAATGTAAATTCTATATTTTGGAATGAAGATTTTATCTCAAGTTGTTGAATTATATTTTTGATATGATATTCTATCATGTATTTATAGATTTCAATCCACACTCATGGAATAGTGCCAAAAATTCCCGAAAAGTTGTAAACATTTCATCAAAGGCCACCAAAAAATTTTTTTTTTAAAAAAAATCAGCCTAACGACTATTTTTTAGTTAAATGCGACTGCATAGAACAAACCTAATATGATCGCATAGATAAATCATTTGCAGGGCATATAAACCCTGCATGTTTATATGTGTTCGCAGGCCACAAAGGCCTATGCGGTCACATGGGCCAAAGTTTTGGCCTCCAAATCCTTTTCTCATTTCAAAGCCTATTTTATAGAGTTTGAGCAACAATTTCAACAATCCATGCATGTTGTACATATAACTAAGTACTCGAAATGGCATGTTTAAACAGCAAATGAGTAATAGAGGAAAGGAAACATGCATTACACTAAGGCATGACTTGTTAAGGTTTATAAACTATGGTTGAATGATAATTCATAGGGGCACCAACTATGGACTCTTGTGAATCAAGAGGAAAGTAGAAGGGATAAAGTTCGTATCTAAGGTAGCAACTGCTGTATAAAACTCGACACCCTTTCTTGTCGTTGCAAAACGTCGGAAAATTGCCTATGGCAATGGAAAGGCACTCGGCACAACCTTGCTTCGATAGATCCCTAGTGCATTGCACCAAGCCATAGAGAGTATTAAAAGGTGTAAGTTTAGTCTTTGCTTTTCCAAGACCTTTGTTTCCTGGCATGATAGCGTCTGAACTGATCTTATCCATCAGGGCACCTAGTTCTTTATTGAATGTATCAGGATCAGGATCTGTTACATTCTGAACATTGTAATAGTAAATACCAAAACCTGTGTCGACTTGTCCGAAGAAGTTCTGTATACTATACCTCAGAAAGCAATATTCATACCAAATCCTAGAATCAGATTGGTTTGGACAGCGTTTACGGATTTCGTTTGCTGCATCTTGGATACAAGTCGAGCAATCTTCGCTGCTAACGTCTCCTCTACATTGTGCCAGTCCGTAGACTTGCGATTCGCCTTTACCATACGAGGTTGTAATGAACCCGTATTGAGACGTGCCTAATACTAACTTAGGCAAGAGGCTATCAATATTTTTGTATATTTCGGTGTTTTTTATTTTAGTACTGTCACCACAGAACTGACCCGATGGATCTTCAGATTCTGCAATCCAAATGCAGAGGAAGAATAGAAAAAGAAAATGGTATATGGGACTCCTCATCGTTTCACTTTCGATTTATGTAATAGCTTGCTTGCTTGTTCGCCTTTTTATATTTGGTATCTCTTGGCCCTGTTTGGTTGGAAAGTTACCGATCTTATGAAATAATTATTGACTGTGACTTCATAGTTCTCATATTATAGATGGAGGATGACGTGGGAAACACAGCAGACTTTGTTGACTTAATAAACGCCATACAATTTGTTGTAGTAAGTGGACAAATTGGGCAGTGCTCAAGGAATGTAATCATTCTTTTCAAAAAAAATGTTTTGAACAGTAATTTTACGATAATGTGTTGTTAAAAAGTATGTAAAAATTTTGGATATACGTACAGAATATTTTGTTGTGTGATTGGAATTGATTACATTTAAAAAAAAGTTTTCAAATAATAATTGTCAAACATAGGTAAGGCAGTGTTTGTTTATAAATTTTTTAACTCGTGGGAAAATAATTAGTTTCAAATGTACGTACAAAATACGAAAGTTTAGAAGTTTGATTCTAACACTCGTCAAATAATTCTAGTTTGGATCATGCTACTTGTACGTTTTTTTTCCACTAAGTTTGACATTGTGCCACATATCGCATCATGATTAGCCAGTTTTTAAACATTACACTCTTTCCCGCCAATAACATTTTGAATTTCCAAAGAATGTCAA